CTTCTCTAAGACGCTAACTCATTAGTCAATTCCACATAACATTCTGCCACACCATTCCACAAAATACTTTAACACAGTACTATTTTTATTAATTCATACATGGATACATGTGTTCTGGTCACTTTTCCCCTAATGTCTCCCCAATTTACCCACTCTTTCCTAGCTTTATGTTTTTTTTTTTTTTAACTCACTGAGTCCAATTTGTCTGATAATCAAGAATGTGGGTCATTCAGTCAGGCATGACATAGTACTTTGTTTTTAATCATTACATAATGTTTTATAGTTTTTTTTGTTAGTTACCCTGTCCCTTCATTAGTTGGTAAAGTCTGGTGGTATATATTTCAAGTTCTTTTTTTGCTAAAAAGTAAAAACTTTTTATTTATGCATACGTGTGTATGTCTACATGAGTTTATGTGCACCATGGGTGTGCAGGCATCCTTAGAAGAGGGTGTCAGATCACTAAGAGTTACAGGCAGTTGTGAGTGACCTGATGTGAGTGTTGGGAGCTGATCCAGGTCTTCTGCAAGAGCAGTTAGTACTGTTAATTGCTGAGCCATCTCTCCAACCCTCACAATATCTCTAAAGATTAGAACAATGTCTGAACATGGTAGGGCATGAATAATTGTTTTTGATTTCCCTGAGTGTACAATAGGCCCTGGACTGTGAACATTGAGTCCCAGGCAGATGTAGAGAGAATGTATCATCCCTAAGGACACAGGATACAGATTTAAAGTGTTCTGCTGTACTGGTTTCCTTCCAGCTGCAGTGAGAGGAGGTCAGGGTTCTAAGGAGTCTAAGGTTCAGTGAATAGTGCAGAGTTAAAGAAGAATATAGTGCTGAAGGCCTTGCTGAAAATTTCATTGCCTAATTCAACTTCTAAAATGAACAGTTAAAAATGTTAACATATAAGTGTAGGTAATGCTAATCAATGTTGCTGATTGTAAGTAATCAAAATAGCTTTGAAAGGATATCAAGATATCAAATTGCCTACTCAAACCAAGGCTCACCCAGAAGACCAACACACACAGGTAAAACTGACTGATACTTTGCTTGAGGAGGAACAATGGAGTCTCTACTGCACCTACCAGACACCTCTCCTGACTGCAGCGTCTCTAGACAGTGTCCTGAGGACCACCAAAGCTACCTAGAACAAAATTTTGTGGTTGTGAATCTCTGACTAATTCTTTCATTTGGGACATCATGGCCTAAGAAGGTGACCTGACTTATGCAAAGTCTACAAATTATGGCTTGTAACAGGACCAAAGTCTCTGAACTCCAGCTCACTGTGTTTAACTCTGTTACCTTCTATTTTGAAAGGACCAAGCAGAAGCTATAAGAGGCTGTTCAGTCTTCTCTCAGAGATCAGGCCTCAATTTCAGTTTCCTGAGACTTGAGCAAGCAATTTCTGGGAGAGCTATGACTTAGTCCTTGCAGTAGCTCCCTTTCTGTATGTACTCTGACTGCTCAAGGTTCAGCCAATGGTTTACTCTCTGGGACCCTTCACCAACTTAGAGCTATGTGCATGAGTCAGTGTGAACGTGCTAGTCCAGCCAGCCTCCATGGCAGCTCAAGGACAGAGCCTGGGCCACTGAGTCATCCCCCACAGTCAGTATGTGCAAGGCCAGCAAGTCCCTATGGCAATTCAAGGACAAAGCCTGGGACTTGTCCAGGCCGGACCCCAAAATGGTAACTGTAACCCCCAGATAGTAAATTCAAAGGTTACACAAACCCTCATCCACTCATGACACCAAGGCTTCTACCACTGTTTGCAATTTTCCCCCTTAAAAACCCCTCATCCTAAGAGCACAAGGCTGTCCTCCACCCGATATGTTGGGTGTTGGATTCGGACCAAGCATAGGCTTGCTTGTTATCAGTAAACTATTGTGTGTTTTGCATTGGATACCAGCTCAGTGGTGGTCTTGCTGGGGGGGTCTCATGACGTGGCCACGACAATTTCTGATGAGACTATAGATTCAGCTGGAATCTCACAGAGACCAGTCCTACGGGAGAGGAGAGTCAGAGTACTTTTGAGATCCTGGAACCTCGCCCGGTTTTCTGCTCTTCTTCTACTGTAGGGGGATAGCCTGCCATGTAAAAATCACCTGGCGCCAGTAGTTAATGATAGAAAGAAAATGAGAGTCTTTATTCGAAGAGTTGTTTTGTAAGTACCCCACCAAGTTGATATGACACCTTGATATAACTGTTGAATGCAAGCAAAATAGTTGGAGTTTTTAAACATCCATGCTACAATCTACACCCCAGAGAACAAGGAGGGCCCACATGGGGGATGGGGACACATGGATTTCCCTGGGAAGGGGAAATAGAAGGGATCCCTAGGGTAGACTGGGGGCCTGGTGGATAGAAAAAAGAGGGATTGGGTTGTGGGGGGAGGGAGAGAGAGTAATGAAAGAGCTATCTTGATAAGGATTGCATTTTGGAATCCGGTAAAAACTTGGTGCAAGAGAAACTCCTACAAATCTACAAGGATGACCCCAGCTGAGAATCCTAGCATTATTGGTACATAGCCTGAACTGGCCATTTCTGGTAATCAGATTGGTAACTACCCCAAATTGTCATCAGAGTCTTCATCCAGTGACTGATGGAAACAGATGCAGAGATCCACAGCAAAGTGCTGGGCTAAGCTAGGAGAACCCTGTTGAAGACAGGGAAGGATTGTAGGAGCCAGAAGGGTCAAGGCCAATCACAAGGGACCCCACAGAAACAGCTAAACTGGGCTCTCAGCAGCTCACAGGCTCTGGAGCAACAGCTAGGGAGCCTGCATGGGACTGACTCAGGCCCTCTACTGGGTGACAGTTGTGGAGCTTGAACTACTTGTGCGACTCCTAGTGGTGGGAGCAGGGCCTGTCCCTAAAGCTTGGCCTGGCTTCCAGGAATATACATTCTTCACACTGGGTTGCCTTGCCCAGCCTTAATACAAGGGGAGGAGTTTAGTCCTATCTCAACTTGATATCCCATGTTTTGTTGACACCCATGGAAGGCCTGGCCCTTTCTGAACAGAAACAGAGGAGTAGATTTGTGTGTGTGTGTGTGTGTGTGTGTGTGTGTGTGTGTGTGTGTGTGTGTATGGAGCGGGGTAGGTGGTAGGAGGGGATGGGAGGAGAGAAAGGAGAGGAAACTTCTGTCAGATGTAAAATAAATGAATACATCTAATTAAGAATAATAAAAAAAGAAAATACAATACAATTTTCTTTGTGGGTTGGTGTTTTGTCTGCATATATGTCTGTGTACCATGTGTATGCATGATGCCTGTGGAAGCCAGAAGAGAGTGTCCCCAGGAAATGTGAAGCACCATGTGTGTGTGTTGGGAATCAAACCTGGGTCCTTTGGGAGAGCAACAAGTGCTCTGAATGTCTGATCCATCTCTTTAAGCAGCTTTATTCTTTTTAAAAGGTATAATTTAGGGTCAGTGAGATGGCTGGGCAGGTGAAGGCCCTTGCTACCAAGCCCGATAACCTGAGTTCAATCATCAGGACCCAAGTGGTAGAAGGAGAGAATTGACTCCTAAACATGGTTCGCTGACCCCCATATGTACACTGTGGCATATATCCCTCTCCTAATAAATAAAGATAATAGAGAAATTCAAAAGATAAAAGTGGCAATGGTGGCATAGTCCTTTAATTTCAGAACTCTGGAAGCAGAGGTAGGCAATCTCTCTGTTCAAGAGGGAGTTCCAGGAGAGTGTGGGCTACATAGAGAAACCCTGTCTAAAAAAATCGCCCAAAACAAACAAACAAACAAACAAACAAACAAAAATATGTAATTTATAATATATTTATAAAGAACAAAGTATAAATTACTCTTTAATATATAAGAGTAAAAATCACTAATATATTTTTCATTATTCATTCCTGTTTTATTACGTTTTTCATTTAAAATTAAAATAAACTTTTATGTGTTCTAAAATTATAAAACAGTAGGCTTCATAGTAGTGTTTCTGTGGGAGCCCACAGAGGTTTCCTAGTGAGATCTGAGCTTGCTTTACCCAGTTCGACTGCATAAGAAGATGATTGGACCACAAGACTGGGTACCAGGTGTTTGGAAGGGTCTACACTTGGCTGTATCTAGCAAGGGGGAGGTATTTTGGCTGGCCCCAGTGTCATTGTTATAAAAAGCCCTTTTGAATAAAGTTCTGGGCTGTAGGATATTGACCCAACTCCTCCCAAAGCTATCCTGTGCTTCTGTTCTTCCTCTCTGCTAGGCCTATCATTCTACCAAATATTAATATTCCTCTTTCCTCCAAGTAGGAAGCCTGGAAAAGCTGGGGCTGGTCCCCCACATGTTTTCATGCATATTTTGTTTTGGTTGATCAAAATCTTATATTCCAAAAGGTTGGAAAGTTCTAAATGTATATGGCCTATCAATACTAAACCTAGGAATTAGAAACAATTTAAACAGATCCATAATAAGCTATGAGATTGAAGCAATAATTAAAGGTCTCTCTCCAAAGAAAAGTTCAGGCCAAGACAGATTCACTACTGAATATTATGAACTTTAGAAGAACACCTAACCAATGCTTCTCAGACCCTTCCACCAATCACAAAGAGAAGGAATGATAGCAAATTCTTTCTCTGAAGTATGTATTGTCCTGATGTCAAACTTTGAGACACAACCAAGAAAAAAGTACAGAACAATTTCCCTGATGAACATGGATGTAAAAAGTCTCCACAAAAATATTTAAAGATTTCAATCAAAGGTGATTCATCAAAACCTTTAAAAATTTTATACAAAATTACTTCATTTTCCTGGACTCACAGCAACAGGGAGAAGGTCTCAGCCAAGGGAATCCTAACTTCCCATTGATGAAGAGCAGTGTGGCTCTGATCAGAAAAGAGAGGACCTGATCAAAAAAGGGAGGACCATTCATTGATTCTTTTGAGCTTCAACTTGAAGCAGAAGCCCAGTCTAGGGCCTTGTCAGGCTGAACTGGGTGGATCACATGGACCACAGTGCAGACTAACTCCTT